ATTCTGCACCCCAGCGCTTCGTCGACAAGAGTGCTATGCTGAAGTTGGTGGAAGAAGCAAGTTCCAGGGATGCGGCGAAGGCGGCTGCCAACAATGTGGACCCCACCAGCAAGGCGCTGGCTCCATTCGGCAAGATCCCCAAGGTCAAAGGGCCTGTTGCTGCGGTGCCTTACCGCTTGCCGCTGGTCTCGGCCGAGAGCGATCCCTACCTTACTATGACTCCGCCCAAGGAGCTGCCGACGCAGAAAACCTGGGGACTTGGCAGTCTTATGGATTAGTCAGTTTCCTGTTTTGGATGAGAGGGTGTTTTGGGTGCGCCATTTTTCAAGGCAGCAGCATGCATCTTCTGCTTTCCTCTATGGTGGAGCGATTTTTGGCTGTTGAGGCTGATATTTATTCAGTTCTTGATTGGTCTGAGGGGTTTCCAGAGATTTTTGCCTGCAGTGAAGGGGCACTGCTAGGCATTTGTGGCAGCGATATCCTTATTTGGTTTGGCGAGTGCTTTGAGACCTGGCTTGGAGCTGGAGTTTCGCCTTTTCCTGGTCTTCTTCTAGACCTTCTCTTTCGCCAAACCTTATTTGTTGGTCTTGCTGTGGGGATTGTGTCAAGTATTCCAGGACTTTGTGATCTTGTACGCGGAGCTTGTTGTACGAGAGATCGAATCGTGCCCAGAGTACGCCTTATTGAAAAAATTCAATAAAGTTATTGGTTTTAAAGTTGTTATTGAAACAACCATTTTATTGAAATGAAACAATAACTTTATTGGTTTGTGTTTCAATAAAGTTATTGGTTTCAACCAATAAACCTTATTGGTTTGTATTTCAATAAACTGGCTTTGTAGAAGGGTCACTTAAGGAAAGCAGCATGTCAAGCTTGTTCTGTGCTTGTAGGAACTAAGCAGGAACCCTGGAGTTGAAACCCACTTGCAAGTTCTTTTTTTGCTTACAAGCAGCCTTTTTGTTCAAGAGCAAGGACAAGCCCTGTATAAGGGCCAGCCCTGCATAAGGGCAAGCCCTGTATAAGGGCAAGCCTGTGTGAGGGCAAGCTTCATGCCTGAAGCAATTGAGCTTGACCCTTTAGATCTGCTGGTAAAGCCTCCTGTAACTTGGCAAGAAAAGCAGGAAGCATACTGGCAGTACCTTCAGTGCTCAAGGCCAGGCTGCAGAGCCTGGTTGTGGAGGAGGCACTTGGGTGATGGTGCTTGGAGTCTCAGGTGCTACCTGTGCAGCCAGGAGTGGAGAACCACCTTCATGGAAGATGGGCTGCACTACTGGGACCCCAGGCACAAAAGAGAATACCAAAGAGAAAGGTAAGCCTTGAGAAAAGGCCCAAGCCTTGGCAAGAGGCAGTTGAGAGGAGCCCAGCCAAGAAAGAAAAAAGCAAACGTGCATGTCTTGGTGGTGTAGTGTACTGTTATTGCAGGCTTAGACTTGGTGCAATGCATGTGTTGTTCCTTTGCAGCAGGCTCAAGCTCACCAAAGGGTGTTCATATCCATCAGGCAAATCCCTGCAGAAGGGTAAAGCCCTGCAGAAGGGCTGAAGCATGAGCCTGATGAAGCCAGGAAGAAAAAGAAAGAAAGGTGCTGGAAACAGCAACCCATGCAAAAGAGTTGGGTTTCCTGACATTGATCAGGAAGAATTGAATGATGCCTTTGACAGCCACATTCGACAAGTAGGAGCAAAACAGGCTTGTAATTTTTTTGAATACTCATATTTGGAAGCCCAACAAGCTGAGTCACCAAAGGCAATTTTCAGGCTGCATGGGCTCATCAACAATCTGTTGCAAGTGAGCCCTACTGCCCAGATCAAATACAAAGGCATCAGAGATGCCTTGGCTGCAAACATGAAGAAGTTTGGCCCAGAGCTTTTGTCAAAGCACTTTGAGAATGTTGAGGTGGCACATCTTGCTGGAAGGGCTGCAGACTCAGTCCTGGTCCTTTTAAAGCATTGGCGAAGGATCACTAGCAGCCCTGCAGCCTGGGAAAGGTTTGGCAGAAAAGTTGAGGAGGCACAGCTGCAAGTGCTGATGCCTTTGTACAAGTGTACTGAGAAGGATCCTGTGAAGCCCAGAATTTTGAAGAAGGAATTTAGTGAGGTCACAGTTGGCAGTGATGGCTTCCCAGCCATGTTGGCTACATCAGGATCAGAAAGCCAAAGTGAAGCAAGTATCCCAGAAAGCTTGGCCCACAGCCCCCCTCCAGTGCTGAAAAAGGATTGGAGGTCCCAAGCTGGCAGAGAGCTTAAGAAGAAGCCAGCAGGCAAAGAAGTGGCACAGAGCAGCAAGAAGGTGGAAAAGGGCAAGGCCTTTACAAAAGGGATGAAAAGACCAAGCAGCATGGTGTCTCACAAAAGTGGAAAGGAGGAGGAGAAGGCAAAATCCAAAGCTGGTGGGCCAGATACAGTGGTGGATGTGGCCACTTTGAGCCTGGGGGGTGGAAAGAAACAGACCTACATCCAACACCAACCAAATGGCAAAGGCACCCCCAAGAGGCTCATTGTTGCTTGTACAATCCAACAAGCTAGCTCCCTGACAATCAGCCACAAGCAATTGGTGGAAGAGCTTATCCCCCATTGCAAAAAGCCAGGTGCAACCAAGGGCTCCATCCTTGAGGCAAGGGCAAACCTGATTGGCAAATACAAAAAGTAAATGCACACATGGCAGCCATCCAAATTCAAAGGCAAGCCTTGCAAAAAGGGAAGCCTTGCAGAAAGGCAAGCCTTGCAAACAAAATGCACTGGTGAGAAGACAGCTATGGTAGCAAAAGTGTGCCTTTCAAATGCCAGCAAACATGTGATGCAAACAGATTGCCATAGCACATACCAGCTTGATGCCAATGTTGAACATGCCAATGTAAACAACCATGCCATGCCTGTTTAACCCTGCAGCCCCTTTGTTTGCACAAAAAAAGGCTTTGTTTTTTAAGTGTGTGCCTGCAAGGGCAACAAAAAAGCCTTGAATAAAGGCAAAGCCCTGAATAAGGGCAAAGCAAATGGCTAACAGCCCATCTCCCAGCCCTGCCTGGTCAAGGTCATCACCAAGCAGGAGCAAGAGTGTGCACAGGACAGGAAACAGAAAAGACAGCTGGGAAGAGTGGGAGTGGGAAGATGGAGGCTGGGAGAGGCGGTCATGGCAAAACAAGCCATGGTGGGAAAAGGGTGATAGCAGGGAAAGGGAGGATTGGGGTGCAGGAAAGCCTGGAGAAAGCACAACCTCTGGCTCATACAGGGAGAGGCAGAGGCTGCACCACATACAGGCAAAACATGGCCAACCAAGAAACCAGGAAGAGCTCGACCTGCAGAGGCTGAGTGCAATGGGCCAAAGCAGGTTCAAAAGGCTGGCAGACAGGAAAGAAAGAAGGGCAAAGGAAGAGGCTGCCAAGCAGGAAGCCTTCCAAGCTGGTGCCAACTGGCAGTTCCAACTGCAGCAGCTGCAGCAAATGCAGCAATGGCAGGCCCACCAATGGCAGGCCCAGCAATGGCAGGCCCAGCAATGGGGGTCTATGTGGGAACACCCACACCCACAAGGCTGGTACAAAATCACATGATTTTTTTCTGAACAAGTGTTGTGGTGCAGTCTCTCCTTGTTTGTCTTTCCTGCCTTGCAGCAGGTGGCCAGCAGCCCCAAGGAAGTGGCCACAAAGGCCAAACTCAACAGAAAGGAGCAGAGAAAGGACTGAATGCAGCCCCTTACCTTTTGGAATTAAGTTCATTTGCTTGCAGGCCTCTCATTTATGTTTTTTCATGCTTTTATGTTTTTTCATGCTGGCAGGAGCCCCAAAAGGTGAGCCTGCTTCAAAGTCAACAAGTGGCCCTGTGAAAGGGAATGTCCCTGTCCAGGGGAAAGGCACTGCAAAAGGTGAAGAGCAGAGTTCCTCTTCATCTTGCTCCTCCTCCAGCTCTGCCAGCACCTCACCTGCAAAGGGTTCCAAGTCCAAGGGTAAAGGAACCTCACCCAAGGGTAAAGGAACCTCACCTGCTGGGACAAAGGGTTCCAAGCCCAAGGGCAAAGCAAGGCCCAACAATGTGGAGAGAGAGAGCCAAGCAGGCTGTGTGGAGGGTCTCCTGGGTGACCAAGAGGAGCTGACTTGGGTTCAGGTGGTTGGAAAAAAAAGGCCAAAACATACACAAAGCAAGCCCTGAAAAAGGGCAAAAAAAAACTGAAAAGGGGTAAGCCCTGAAGAAGGGCAAGCAACCAAAACAAAGGTAAGCCCTAAAAAGGGCAAGCCATGAAGAAGGGCAATCAACCAAGACCGACTGCTTGGACTTGGAAAAAAAGGAGTGAGCCAGAAAAGTTGTCAAACAAGTGTGTGTGCTTTGACAAAACATGTTGGCCACTTAAATGAAAATCAAAAATTCACCAAAAATATTTCAATAGAAAAAACCACTGTCCATCATATTACATCATATGACATCATATGATGGGTTCTGCCATCATATGATGGGTTTTTTCATCATATGATGGGTTTTTGCCATCATATGATGGCCTGTGCCATCATATTACATCATATGATGTCATATGATGGGGGCTGTTTTTTTTCTCTGCTGAGTTTTTTTGTGGCTCAAATCCAGGAGCATTCTTGTGCACAGAGTTGTATCTGAAGGATTTGGCCCTGTAGAGGGGCAATGAAAAAGGTAATGAAGAGCATGAAGGTGAAAGGGAAAAAAAGCCCTGCAAAAGGGCAAAGCCCTGAGAAAGGGCCCAAGAAAAGGCCAGCTGCCAACCCAGGTGGCAATGGTGAACCCATGTCCTTGGAAGAGAAAATGGAGCAGTTTAACAAAAAAAGGATGGGTGTGTCCAGACATTTCTGGACAAGCTCACTTCTGGGCAGAGAGAATGTCTGTGGGGCAAGTTCAAAAGGGCTAGAGAAGCCTTGGGGGACAAGGACCTGGAGGAGAAGTGGAACACGCACTGCAAAGGCAATGGAAGTGACCCCAAGAAGAAAGCCTTGCTCAAGGTGTTCCTGCAGAATGAGGGCAATCTCAAAAAGAATGATCACTTTATGAAGGAGATGGTCAGGCTGACTGAAGTGAGTGGAAAGAAGGAAAAGGAACAGTGGGTGCCCTTTGCCACCATACTCCACCGCTTTGGGCTCAATGAAGCTATGAGAAGAGCTCCTTGGTTTTCATGCCAAACTTTTTCAATCCCAGTAAAGCATCCCTTTGACAGGTATTGATAAATCACATTTTGTTTTCACATTGCCTGGTCAGGTCCAGAGGGGCAGCATCAAGGTCAGGAAAGACCCTAAAGACCTAGCAGAGTGGCAATTTGCCCTTGAGGAGGAAATCAAGTACAAGACCACAGAGGAAGCACATGAGAAGCAAGCTTGTGCCTCTGGGAAGGCAGAGGCAGTTGCCTTCATGAAGGTCAAAGCAGCTGGCCTCATGGGGATGGATGACCCATCTGGTCTTGCTGAGCAGGCTTTGGCTGATGTGGGTGCTGGGAACAAGAAATCTGTCCTGGCCATCAAAGACAAGGATGCATCCACACATGGTGAGGTGGAAACAGAGGCAGAGCCAAGCCCAAAGAAAAAGAAAGCTGCAGACCCTGATGCTGAGGAGGCTGAGCTCCTAAGTGACATAGGTGCCAGCAGCAACAAGGATCTGGCCAAAAAGAGGGTTCTAAAGATGGTGGCTCTGTTGGAGAAGGTGAAAAAGGATTCAAAGGTGGACTCCAGCACACCCAAGGGCAAAAAACTGCTGGATTGCCTGCAGGAGCTCAAGAAGCTGCAAAAGACTGGCACCAAGTTGAACATGGAAACAGCCAAGCAGCAGCTCTTTGAAGGTGCTTTGGCCATCAAAAGAATCAAAAAGTAGATACAAAAAGCTTGAGCCTTGAAGAAAGGCCAAGCCCTGAGGAAGGGCATAGGCTTTCTTTTGGAGCAAGATGGCAGCCTTAAAGGTAAAAAGGGTGGGAGCTCTCAATGAAATGTTGTTTTTCTCCACTTGACTCTGCCAGAGGCTTTTGTTCAGGCAAGTGTTTGGCCCAAATACAGCCTTCAGGAAGAAGACCTGTGCAAAAGGGTCTTTTCAGCCCGGGATAAGGGCAAAGCCTTGAGGAAAGGCTACAAAATAGTATGGCCAAATGGAGAAGAAAGAAAACACACCAAGTTGAGGAAAGACATCAATTACTAGAGGGTATGAGCCCTCTTGGTCTGGCACTGCTAGACCAATTTGCACATGGGATGTCAGAGGCTTTGCTGCAAAGGGTGTTTCTGTGCCTGGGGGTTGTGTGGAGTGTTTCCTCCTTCACTTGCTCCAGCTCAGGGCCCTTCAGTGCAGAGCTTAGCTTTTGCAGCTGCAAAGTCTGGAGTGACTGCTCTTGACATACAAGACCTTTCCAGCCTGGGAAACTTTGGGAGGAATCAGAACCATGTGGCTGGCCAATTGACATCGAAATTTTGCAAGAGTGAAGAGTTGGATGTTCCTTTCCCCTACTTCTTTGAAGCTCCTGTAATGAAAAAAGGGGCAGACAAGTGGTTCTTGGCCACTGAGAAGTTGGCAGTATTCCTGCCTCATGAGTGGTTTGCATGGATGCAGGGCCACTCCAATGTGTCAGGAATAAGCCAGCTGCAAACTTTCTGGGAAGAACATGATCCATCAGACCCCAAGCTACACAACAGCCCACTCAAAAGCCAAAGGGACCAGTGCCTGCCCTTAATGGTTCATGCTGATGGGGGTGCCTTTCAGAAATTTGACTCCATCACTATCATCTCATTCAGAAGCTTGCTGAGTGATGAGAATGTATCATCTTCTCAGATGCTCCTAGCAGCTGTTCCCAAATCCTGCCAGAACAAAACTGCAGACTTCAAGGATGACACCATGTCAGCAGTGTGGGAAGTACTCACTTGGAGTTTCTCACATCTATTTTATGGCAAATACCCAGAACATGATCACCTGGGCAAGGCATGGCCCCAGAAGTCTCAGAGGGCAGAGAAAGCTGGCAGTCACCTTTGGGAAGACAAGCTCAGAGGCACATTGTTCCAGTTCAGTGCTGATGGGGAGTTTTTACAAAACGATCTGAGACTGCCAGGGTGGTCACATTCATCTGTCTGTGTGCACTGCAAAGCAAACAAGTCCTGCACACCACACAATGATTATCGGCCAAATGCAAAGTGGAGGTCATCTTTGGCAAAGCCTGGCACACCTCTGCCTGGTGGGCATCCTGTGTCTAAGGTTCCTGGCCTGAATATATTCACTGTGGCCTATGACACTTTGCACTGTTTGGAGGAGGGTGTCAGTGCACACACCTTGGCAAACTGCCTATTTGATTTAATCATTAAACCAGGTGGCCTTGGAGCTGGGAGTCAAGATCAAAATTTGCAGAGAATGTACAAGCTTATCAGGCAGCAATATCTTGAACTTGGCATTGAGTCAAGCAATCAGATCAAAAAATTGACCCTGTCCAACTTCACTTGCAAAAACCAGAAGTATGACAGATTTCCTGAAATCACAGGGTATAAAGCCAGACACATTCGCTACCTGGTCCCAGTCATGAAAGAGATCATTCAGGAATACACTGACCATGAAGATCCCTATTGCAAACACAGGTGGGAGTGCCTGGTGAACCTCACCCACATGTATGACTTGATGGATTCAAATGGTCTTCACATGAGCAAGGAAGACAGCAAGGCATTCAAGAAGGTCTGTGACCTGACTCTTTTGCATTACTCTCGATGTGCAAAGCTATCTATTGATCAAGGATTTTTACAATGGAACACTGTGCATAAACACCACTTAGTGGCACACATGGGGTACCAAGCAGCCTTCATGAACCCTCGCTTCATGAGTACATACTCAGGAGAAACCATGGTTGGCTATCAAGCTAGTCTTGCTCACAGTTGCCTAAATGGCAGTGCACCACAATTGGTGGCTGAGAAGGTCCTCTGGAGGTTTAGACTTGGCTGGCACCTGCGCTATCTCCATGGAGAGGAGGCTTTGTCTGCAGCCAGTGATGACTCTTGAAAGCCTTGAACAAAAGGCAGTGCCTTGCGCAAAGGCAATGCCCTGAAGAAGGGCTACAAGAGCTTTGAAGAGACTTGCTTGGCAAAAAAGAGACATCTTGCACTTGTGTTGAAATGAACATCTGGAGCAAGAAATTATTGAAATTGGTCTTATTGAAATGTAGGTTTCTTATTGGTTCAGGTGCCAAAATGTTATTGAAACACAAACCAATAAAATTTCCAGTTTTATTGAAATGCATAGCCATTATTGAAACAAGCGAAAGTTATTGAATTTTTTCAATAAGGCGTACTCTGGGTGCTTTGGCCGACCAAAAGTCAGAGTGGCAGCATGATCCTTAGGGGAGGATGTGCCCTCAGTGCGTGTTTGACTCTGCTTGAATCTGCCAAAGAAGGTGACTTGTCCACAGAAGCTTATTGGCTTTTCCAGAGCATATGTCGAATCCTTTTCGGGTGGATTCTTCTTTGTCTGGGTTTTTTGATTGGAAGAACCAGCGCGGATGAGACTATCTATTTGCTTGCTCGTGCTTGCAAGATTGGTAGTATGCGGAAGAGGAAGCATGTTTCTGCAAAGCAGGGTTTCAAAATCCATGCTTTCCTCCTCCTTGTGCACATTGTGACGGCCGAAGCTGTAGGGGTTTCAAATCAGCTTGCTGTTGTGCATGAATTACAGGGTACGCTTTCTCCTGCCTACCAGAGCGGGAGAGAAGATTCGGAAAGTTCAGTGTCCTCCTTGTCTTGTGGGGCACTGGATTACGACTGCCATGAAGATTTTGGCGAAGAAGGCTTTACCCAGACCTGCCGGCAAGGTTCCTCATTCTTGGATCTTTCGACTATTGGATCTGATTTGATTGGGGGAGAATCCTGCGATTGGTTGTGCCTGGTTGCTCCAGTTCGCTGTCGAGCATGTCAACAATTTTGTCACCAGTTTTGTCCGCCTTGTGACTTTTGTCGAGTGGGCCCGATTAGTTTAGCCACACAGGCTATTTTTGACGGGACAAAGTTTCAACAGTCAGGGGTGGATTTGTGTAGCAGTTTTGTCAGAAAGGGCCATCCGTTTTATGTGGATGTGTTTGATCTGCACTTGAAGCCACGTTTTGGAGTAGAGAGTGACAAGCACTTTTTCTTACTCAATAGTGGTGACTTTCCCGATGATACTTCTTTGATGCAACTTGGAGTGTCTCATGTCAGTCCGTCTTTTCCGATCGGATTCGCTTCGCATGGGGTTCTTGCCAGTCGAGCCCTCGTGACAGTTGCTGATGTCATCAAAATACATGTCCAAGAGCATGTTGCTAAGCCAGTTGATGAGCTTAAAGCAGTATGTACTTGGGTTGTCATGAGCCTGCATGAGCCAGGTTATATGGCCAGAACTTGTGCGCCTTCTCCGATCGAATCTCTGACACTTCAGATACTTGATATCCGGTTTGACATCCTAGGTCATGAGGTCTCCGGTTTCGCTGTTGAACTTGCCAGAGTTGGGAGGCCATTTGACCCAGACCGCGTTGAACTAGTTGGAACGACGCTTTCCAGGTTGAGAATGGGCTATAGAGCCTACTTGATTACGTGCCAGGTTGACATCTTTCCCATCACACGGGCATTGCTTTGTTCTGGTACTGAGACTGTGAGAGACATCTACACCAGACTGGGCTACAGCTACTTCTGTGAGACTCATGCTTGCTATTTATACCGTGAGCAAGATGGTTTGCAAGCTAGGTGGGGCCATGAAGAGCTGGTTGATGAACCCCATGGTGCTAGTTTCATTTTGGCTTTCGAGGGCGATTTGCCTTGTGAGTACAAGGAGACCATTTCATGTGGCTGGTTTGACGGAGTCTCAAAAAGAGAATGGTCAGCGCCTCTTCGTGATTGATCTTCGGTTTGCAAGTTTGCCAAAGCGTATTGCCGTGCTGGTTGATCCGGGGGATACAGTAAGGCACATTGCTGTGAAAATGCAGTGTAGCCACCTATGCTCCGCAGATCGGTATAGGTGCACCATGGAGCAAGGAGATGCAACAAATACGCGGACCTGGAATTACTTTGATGTGATTGAGGAGCCACATGCCTCGCATTTTCAATTCCTTTTTAGTCCGATTCAGAGGGTATGTGCCCATGACCAGGAAGACGAGGTGGCAGCTTTCATGCAAAGGAGTGTTCGGCAGGCTATGGTCGACAGCACTCTGAAGACATACATTCGGCAGTTTACCTCGAGCAGGCTGGAGGTGACATTTTGGCTGCATTCTCAGGGTTTCGATGAGGTGCAGCCGCACCCTTCGAGATGTGACTTGCAACTTCAAGCGGATGTAGATTCTTCTGCTCAAGAATGTTGGGTTTTAGGAGGTTTGCCAGCTCTGAGTAGGGTTACACCAGTCGACCCGGCTCCAGTGCTCTTGGTCTTGCCAAGACCGCATGTCATTGTTTCGTCGACATTCGATCCTTTTGAGATCCCAGTACTGTGCAAGCTGATCCAAGATGGAAGGATGAATCTCGTGTCAACCTTGATTAATGGGCGATATCCGCCTATCGGTGTGTCAGCTATCTTCGAGTTGACTTTGCCAGCAAATCTTTGTCAGGTTGATTCTGAGTGCTATGTCCTTTATGGGGCTGAACGCTTCGAGTATTGGCATGACATCCCCTTGCAACCTGGCGCCTTTATATGTTTGTATGAGTGGAGGCAACAGCAGTCCGAAGACGGGAGTACTGAATGCTCTAGCTGCTCTTCGGATTTTGACACTCATACCTGGATCGATGGATTTGACGACGAGGGTGGCGACCCTGGCGAAAGGGCTGTGTTAGAACATGTGGGAGATAACACTGCAACTCCGAGTGACACTGGGTCGCCCATTGTTGTCAATCGAAACGTGGCGAGCCGACGAGAGGGAGCGAACACTGCAACTCCCCTCACTGGCGAAGAAGAGCCTGATGATGCATTTGTGGCCATACAGTCATGTGTTGTCCACCGATGTTCACACACCTTGGAACGGTTGAAGGAGAATACTCAGCATCAGTCCGAGGAATTTGATGAACAGAGCCTCTTTCAAATGTATATACATGGGCGAACTTTGGCTCTTGGACAGGGGCAGGAGCCTGTCTTATATCCAGAGACCTTTCGGCAAGAGGTTCAAAGAAGATTGCTATGGGACTTGCATGTGCGCAGGATTGCAAGGCTCACAAGTTTCTACCAATACGACTATATGGCAGCTGAAGCAGCGGCCTTCAGAACGGCCCGTGGGCAGTGGCCAGATGTGGTGATGTGCGGGCTTATCCGAGAAGTGGTCTCTTTCTGGGACATGGCCTTTGATGAGCATTTTGAATATAGTCTCGCAGAATTGCAAGCGGTCCTTCGTGGTTTCATTGAGCCACCTCTACTGCGCACTGAAAAAGTTGTCATGGCGGCAGTCAAGCCGCTCCCCACTGTTGATGAGCAACAAGGAGAAGACAATCTCTATGTGCTGATTGGGGTTGATCTTGATTGGCACGAAGAGTCGTTGGTATTGGTGGCCATATGGGACTTTCGAGGAGAAGTTGCAATCGACTTGCACCCCTTAGTCGTGCCGCCCCGCATGGAATCCCATGTTCTCTTAGAGATCCTGGGTTTGGCAGCAAGGTGTGAACAAGCTTTCATCCGTTGCACAGTAACCTACCAAGCGCACGAGCTCCCTCGACTGATGGCTTGGAGGACTTTCCATGGGATGAAGCTGGTGGTTGAAGTTCATATTGAAGCGCTGAATCAGGTATGCGAGGATGAAGAGATGAGGTCAATTGCAGCGGTGCAATTGCTGCAATTTCGGACCACATTTCGCCGAAGAAGTCAAGATGCTGCAGTGGCTGGGTCAATGATTCAATCATGTGAGAGTGAGAATTTGCATGTGAAGTGCGATGGACGGCCTTTCTGGCTACGGCCTCTCATTTTGCATTCGAACTTTCCTTTCCATGGATCTGAAATGAAGCCTTCTTTTTGGTATCTGCCACCGCCAGGCAATCCTGAATATTGGTTGCGGCAGTCTCTGAATACGATGGATGTCTGGAGCCGCACAGGTGATACAGTGGTTATCTCTGATCACGAAAGCTAGCCTTAGCTAGCTGGAGTTGCTCTTGCTTTAGCAAGTTAAGTGACGGGGTGGACGCACCTCAGAAACCTCAAATAATTGATTAAATCAATCTTATGGACCCCCCCCCCCCCCCGCGGTTCGACTCCCCCCTGCGCGCGGTGAGCGGGACCACCAAGCAGCTGCAGCACACCAAGCATCTGCAGCGCCCAGCGCAGCAGCGGCAGCAGCAGCAGCACCAGCAGCAGCAGCAGACCACCCAGCGGCGGCAGCAGCAGCAGCAGCATACCCAACGCCGCGGCAGCAGCAGCCGCAGCAGACCACCCAGCGCCAGCAGCAGCAGCAGACGACCCGGCGCCTGCAGAGCACCCAGCGCAGCAGCGCCCAGCGCAGCAGCGGCAGCAGCAGCACCAGCAGCAGCAGCACCAGCAGCAGACCACCGGAAGCCCGGCTAGCTTTCGTTCACCCCCTCTGGCCTCAAGTTTTTTCTGGGCTGATGCTGCGGTCCCATCTGATGAGCCTGCCAAGGAGACTTTGAGACTTGCGGACGTCATTGATACGAAGCCTGTAGACAATCAGCCAGCATTGATGCCGCTTCCTGACTTTGCGCGATTGATCAGCCAGATCGAGGCAGTGCGGGGCCGAGAGACAAAGCCAATTTCGAGATGGATCACTTATTTGCCTGCTGCAGCATTTGCCGAATTTGTTGAGTTGACCTTTGGTGAATGTAAACATGCCTCCAGGCTAGACATCTTCACGGACGGCTCATTCCAACCTCATATATCGTCAACAGCGGGCTGGTCTTATGTTGTACTGGCGCGACATGGGGACTCCTCCATGTGTGTGGCTTGTGGTTGGGGGCAAGTGGTGATTGATCCAGTCGAGAATGGATGGGCTGGAAGTAAATGCCAATCTGCAAGGGCAGGAGAAGCCAATGCGCTGATCAGAGCTCTGGAATGGTCCTTGGCTGTTGCTCAAGACATCGATGTGACATTCTGTTTTGATGCAACGCATGTGGGCTTTGGGGCATCCGGAGACTGGGGTTTTGATCGAAAAGACAAGGACATGCTGGCTATGCGATGTCTCAGTCAAGCTTTTGCTTTGAGGCAGGCTTCAAGAGGCAATGCAGTGTTGTGGAAGCACACAAAGGCCCACCAGGGCTGTTTGGGAAATGAGATGGCTGATGTTCTGGCCAAGATGGCGGTGAGCGATCTCCAGACGGATGAACTTTTATGGCCTGACTATTTCCCTTTTTTGGCGGGCGAGCGTATTGCGCTTGAACAACTGTGGTTGCATATTGCCACTTGTGCATTTGACCATAGACTGCCTTTGAGCTTCTCTGCAGGCCTGGATGTTAGCTGTAACCATCAAAACAGGGCAAATGGTGATCGATTGCCTAATCGTTTACTGTCAGCAGATCCGGTATGCCAGTGTATCCGAAAGTTGAAATTGTGACCTACAATGTACACACATTGCAGCCAGCAAAGAGTAAGCATTTCGTGCATTACTTGCGTGAACAAGTGGCGGCGTGTGAGTACTGGGTATGCTTCTTTCAAGAGACGAGGGCAAGAGAATCTGTTCTTGTGCAGTCAGGTACACACTTTAGGGTTACCGTGGCTGCTGAGGGAGGACATGAAGGTGTTGAGATTTGGCTGCTTCGACAGCACCCAAAGACACAGGAGGTTCTCTTTGCTCGAAATAACATACAAGTCCTCTTTGCGTCCACCAGGGTGTTGGTGATCAAGGCAGTTTGTAGGGGAATCGATCTGCTCCTTTTCTCTGCCCATGCACCGCATTCGGGGGCCCCCAAAGAGGATCAGAAGGCCTTTTGGCTGCATCTCACTTCGATATTGCAACAGTGGACTGGCAAATATCCTCTCTATATTGGGGGGATTGACGCAAATGCTCACTTCGATACTGAACATCTGCCAATGGTTGGAGTTGTGGTTTGGAAGAACGAGCCAACTTCGCAGGGGAGTGCTTCACACGATTGCTTGCTGCAATACAAGGGATGCTCCCTACAACTTTCGCAGATTGTCATTCCGGGGAAACAGGAACGTGGCATAGCAATGCCAATGGAGAGGTGGCACGCTGTGATTATTTCATCCTGCCACAGACTATTTGTCTTGCCCAGGTTTGCACCTATCCCAACTCATGTATCGACTCTGGAGCTAAGGGATTAGATCATGTTCCTCTTGCTATGGATTTGGAGATTCATCAAATGGCATCTCGCAGTGTTCGTCGGCCATCTTTCGACAGAAACGCTTTGCAAAAGGCAGATAAAGCTGAGCTCGAGCGAATCTTTGCGAATCCTCCAAAGTGCCCGTGTGGCATGCATGTCGATCAACATGCCATGGCAGTCACATCATGGGTTCGGGAAAGGCTTGTAGCCTCTTTTCCTTGTGGCCGGAAAGGGCCACGCAAGAGCTACATTTCAGATGATACTTGGAATGTGCGGAAAAAGCGGTTGCATGTTCGAGCGCGTTTGCAGAATTTGAAGGCTTGGGCTGTCAACTTGACCTTACATCATGCATGGAAATGTTGGCGGGGCCACACCTGGCTTCAACCGGCGAAGATCGCATTCGATGGACTGCAACTGATATTCCAAATTCTGGCTCTGCGGAGTGAGGCAGCGTCTCTGTCCAGATCACTTTGTAAAGGGCTCAAATTTGATAGAACGAAGGTTTTGGAAGCTATCGGAGAGCAAGCAGGCACTCTCAATGCCAAAGCTTTTGCAGCAGAGCTGCTGAGCGATGGCGAAGCCATTTTGCCGATCAAGAGGACGGTGTGCCGATGACTCCACAACAATTGATCCATATGAATGAGGAAATCCCGCGTAGAAAAGCAGTCCTGCCGTGTTGGGATCAGCTACCCACTTTGGCTGAATTAGAACAAGCACTGAGAAACACGGCCTCCGGAAAAGCTTTCTTTTATGATGAAGTACCAGGAGATGTCCTGCGACAACTCCCAGCCCTTTTTGCGCAGGTGCTGTTTCCGCTCTTTCTCAAAGAGACAGTTTGGCAACGTGAAGCACTCCTTTTCAAGGGCGGCAGACTAGTGCCAATGTTCAAGAAAGGCAGCCCAAGTGACTGCCGAAATTTTCGATCGCTTTTTGTTTCTAGCCCAATAGGCAAGCTTCTCCACGGGATCTATCGGCAGGAACTCGGAAGGTGGTTTGACTGCAACCCTAAGGATCCGAGAATCTACTTTTCATGGCTGCCAGCCACTTTCCAAGGTTCTGGCCCCCTAGAAGCCAATGCTGGAAGATAAGATTTGTGGCTGGCAGCTAGGATTCATGGCTGGCAGCCACAAATCTTATCTTCTCAAAACTGGCTGGCAGCCATGAAAAGTAGATTCTACTTCTAAATGTGGCTTCTGCCCAAACTCATGTTACCACCTCCAAGAAGCGCTTCTTGGAAACAAGATATTTGATATGTTGCAGCTGTTTGGCTTTAAGCAAGCTAGGTATAGATGTCAGGAGAAGCAACGCTGCCCATCCCCCAGCCTGCAATAAAGGCAGATATCAGCAAGCTGGTGGCCTTTGCAAAAGGCTTCCCTGACTCTTGCAATGCAAACCTGTGGCCAGCTGACCCTGAAGAAGCCTGCACAAGGCATGCATTGTTTTTGGGTGTGTGGTTCAAGCATGGGGCTTTGAGCAAGCCTGTGGAAAGGCAAGCAATGAAAGAAGCTAACCATAAATTGACCACATCAGAATGCAAGTTGATCGTGAACCAAATTCATGAATGCAAAAACTTTCTGAGAAGAAAATGGAAAAATCTCAAGACTGGAGAAAAAACCTCTGGTCTATTGATGGGTTTGATGCAAAGTCTGTTTGGCACTCCACAGCCTGCAGAAAGGCCAGTGAGAAGGCTTAACCAGAAGACACCAAAAAAGAAAGCCCTTCAGCCTGCAGAAGAGAGGCCTGAGCAAGGCCCAGCACCTATCACTTTTTTAGAACCCCCAGCTGCCATTCTACCATCAGACCAAGAGGTGGTGGAAATCGAAAGTACAGCTGCAAGCACAGCAGTGTCACAACAAGATCTGGAGCCTGCAAAAAGGCCATCATGCAAAAAAGCGCCAAAGAAAGTGCCAGCCTGCAAAAGGCCAAGTGCAGCAAGCAAAGCCAAGGCATGTTGGAATAGAGCATTTCCTTTGGGTTTGTTAAGGAAACCAAAGCTTCAAACAAGGCTTACATTGTGTCCAAGCCTGAAGAAGGCAGCAAGCCAACTTGCCTGGTGAATGTGCAATTGCCTAGGGGTCCTGACCAAGACAGAGTCATGTCTGCACTTATGGCTAAAGCCTGCGAAGAGGCAAGCCTGGAGAAAAAGCAGCTGGTCTCATACAAAGATCAGCTGCTGAAGGACTCGCCAGCACAGCCTGCATAAAGGCACCCCTTGGTGAGGATCAAGGGACAGACAGCACAAAGGCCACTGGGGAGAAGCCTGAGCAAGGCACCATTGGCTTGCACAGCCTGCATGAAGGCCAGCTTTAGATTCCAGCCTGCACAAAGGCCCTTACTGTACAGTTCAGCACTTGCTCGCTGTGGTTTTTGAAAAAAGAGCCTATGTAGGGTAGTGCACAGCCATGTTTAAAAGAACTGTTTTGTGTTTTGGGGGTTCATGAACCGATGGCTCAAGAAGCATGCACAAATCCCATGGACATGTGCACAGCAACACACAGCAACACACCACATACACACACTCTACCATGACAAACCGAGACAGCTCCATGCCACACACACACACACTCCACACCAATGACACACTTTGAAGCACCATGCATGCCTGTGCAACATGCATGTTTTGTGTATCATGTCGATGAAAAACACACAAACCCACAGAGACATATCTTCATGCAGCCATATTTTTGTAACACTTCATGCTTCAAACTTCAGGTGCCCACACTTTCAACTTTCACAGACTCACACATGACATTTGCAAATCACATGTATACACACTTCCATTTCATACACACTTCACAGCTCATAGATTTACACACAGCTTATATAGGGCACAACCAGGGTAGGACAGATTGCTTGGGCCATGGCTTTCTTGTTCCACCTGCCCAGCCTGAACAAGGCCTTGCTCTTGATTGTGGTGTTGAGCCTGCAGAAGGCAACTCTCCTGGGTGGAGGGTGAGGCTGTTCAGGGGCACTAGGTGGTTGTGGGATGTGGATTCCCAAGCCTGGACAAGGCTCACCAATGACCAAGAGCAAGAACTGGATTGCCTGGAGTTCGATGAGCCTGAAGTAGGCCAATTTATACAGCACCAATCCCAACAGTGTGGATACACTGGGGATTGGTCAGTTGATGCTGCCCCACCTGTCTGGGATAGGTGGGCTGAAGGTTGGGTAAGGCATCAGCCTGGACAAGGCTCTGGTCACCAAGAGCCTGAACAAGGCAGATCTTCTTCTTGGAGGTCCCATGACCAGCCTGAACAAGGCACATCTTCTTCTTGGAGGTCCCATGGCCAGCCTGAACAAGGCACATCTTCTTCTTGGAGGTCCCATGGGCAGGCTGAGCAAGGCAGATCTTCTAGTTGGTGGTGCAATGAGCCTGAACAAGGCAGATCTTCTTCTTGGAGGTCAAGTCCAGAGCCTGAGCAAAGGCAGCCAAGGTACTCAAAGGTTGAGCCTGGAAAGGCCCAGTGGCAATACTGGGATGATTGGTCATCAGAGGATGAATCTTCCCATTGGGATGATGACCAATGGGAAGATTGGAGGGGCTATGCTGATTGGCAAGATTGGAATGAAAGCCCGTATGAGGGCAACCCTAGGTGGCTGAGCAGGGGCCCAGTGTCAGCCAAAAGAAGGTTTGAAAGGAGAAGGCTGATTCAAAGGGGTGAGCCTGTACCAAGGCATTTGGAGCCTTATGATTGGGTTGCCAATTGTGAGAACAAAGAAATGAAAAGATAAATTCACAGGTGGCAGCAGCAAGCCATGGCGATGGAAAGGCAGGAGAGGGCAAGAAGAGGCCTTGAGCCTGGACCAAGGCAGTGCAGGGCAAGAAGCAAAAGCCAGCACAGACCAAAACCTCCAGAACCTCCTAAACCAAGGAGGGCTCAGCCTGCACAAGGCACACCAGCCCAGCCTGAACAAGGCCAATTCCAGCCAACAGCTACAAAAGAAGAGACAGTTCCAGAAGGCAAAAAGCCCAAGCCCAATGCAGAAAGTGCACCAAAGCCTGCAGATGCTGAGCAGGCAGTGGAGCCTGAGCCTGCAGGAGGGCAGAATGAGCAGCCTGCACAAGGCCAGAATGAGCAGCCCAAAAAAGGAGATGATGCTGCTCATGATGGTGCTGATGATGGAGGCATTGAGGATTTCTGAGTGAGCACTGCACAGCTCAAGCCTGAACAAAGGCCAGCGCACCCCATACCTAAAGCCTGAACCAAGGCCAATTCCACCACTTGTCAGCTCAAGCCTGAACAAAGGCCAGCACACCCCATAGCTGAAGCCT